TGTTTTGTTTTTTGGGGGGGGCCACAGCTGGCAGGCTCCTGGCCTCCGCTGAGCCCGGTTGACACAAATTTCCGCAATGTCCCTCTTCCCATTTCTCTTTCCTTCTCTCCCTCGGGGACTCCTGCACTAAGCAATCCTCAAGCTGCTCTCTTCTCCCAACCATCTCCCGGGTTCCCAAACTTTCAGACGGCATGTGTTTTCAGGAAGAACACTGTATTGGGAGCAAAACCAACATAGAGTTGGCAACTTTTTATTTTGTCCAATGAGGGCTCCTAAAACACAATAGAAACCATCAAAGAAGACAGAGCCACCTTTACCCATTCCTCATTTCCTAAAGGCCATTGAGCACCCTTGAAGTAGGAAGAACATAATCCTAGAATGAAGGGTCAGCATTTGGGTGAAATAAATCCTATAGAAAGAAAAACTCAAGGCGTTCCCTCATATTGTTTCACTCGCCTTTGGTCAGTGAAAGCTTGCCACTAGTGCTTGTCCTTGGAGGAAAGTTGGGAACCATGAAGGTACAGCCTGCCATTCCCATTCTCTTCTTCTCTCTCACTATCTTTCCCTCCCTCCCTCCCTCCTTTTCTGTCTCTTCTCTCTCTTTCTCTTTTGCTCTCACTCTCTCTCTCTCTCCTCTCACCCTCAAATTGTGGTAAAATAAACATAACATAAAATTTAGCATCTTAACCACTTTTAAGCACACAGTTCAGTGCATCGAGCCTGACATCACCTCTTGCCTTTGACTCCCTCTGGCCCACTTCCCTGTCTGCCCTCTCCAGCCAGACCAGCATAAAGTGCAGGTCCCCAAAGCTTCTGCAAAGCCTCCCAGCCTCCCAGTCAGGCCTGGCTCCAGTCTAATGGAAGAGTTAAGATCCCCTCTTTACTCCCTAACTGTGGGCAGCCCCAGCCTCCCATCCCCTGCAAAGCAGGGCAGGATGATGCCGCCGGTCCCCGTTTGCCAGCAGTAAAATCCATTAGGGAACCCCTGGTTAGCACAAACTGCCCACCTTCAGGCCTTTTTCTGCCCTCTGCCTGTCATTCTCTGTGGCCCCCAGGCTGCAGAGGGTCCCCAGCTTCCTTCCCCTGAAGCTGCCCGGAGACAAGCATCTTTGGACCCCTGGGCCCTGCAGGGAGCTCCAGTCACCTGCCCGAGGCAAACGGGGCCTGAGAGATGGAATTGGGTCAGGTCATCCATGACCCATTTCCTCTGGAAGGGAGTTGGGGGTCAGGAAACACATTTGCCTTGGGGTTTTTAATGTAATTCAACAAAGCACAGCCGAAGCTCTTATCCTGTGCTGGGCATTGGGGGTGTGGAGTTCTGTCATTCATGACTGAGGACCTCATCGTGAGACATTAGAGGGGCTCATCTTCCAGGTGAGCAATGTGAAGATAATGATGGATGGCCCAGGGGAACGTGCTGCTGGTGGCGACTCATCTCAGAGCTGAGGGCCAGTCCCTCGGGGAAACATATGGATGCTCCACTCTGGCCATGTCCCAGGCAAGCTGATGGGCAGTGAGTTCTGCCTGCTTGCCCAGGGAACTCCATTCCCAGAGGCTACAGAGACTGCAATCTGGTAGAACCAGCCTCAAGCCCCCCTCCAGCCTGGGCTTTGGGGTCCTCACTGCCCCATGTTGTGGGTTCGGACCCACTGCAGCATGAGCAAGGGCCTTCATATCTTTAAGCCTCAGTGTTCCATCTCAAACATGGGGGTAAAACAGTATCAAGCCCTGGGGGCAGGTGTCCATGGGGGAATTACACAAAGCGAGGCTGCAAAGTGCCACCCAAGGGGGTCACACACCCACGAGCACCAAAGGGAGCATGTTCTTTGTCTCCCTTGTCAGTGTTCCCTCTGTCCTGCCACCACTGAGCACCTCCCAGGGTCCTGGCTTCATGTGCTGTCAGTACCTGCCCATCCCACCCACTCCCAGCTCTTCTTTTTAAACACCCTCTGGGTGCTACATGTGCCTTTCCACATACAGAAAATGGGTTAAGAAAGGGGTGGGAGGGACAGGTAAGCAGGGATAACTAATTCATCAACCGACCCACTGGTGGCTCTCTCTCCCTCCTCCCCTCCCCTCCTGTCTCTCTCTCTCTGACACACACACACACGCACACACACACACCCTGTGTTGGGCCATCAGAGTACCAGTTCTTATAAACTCTAAGACCCCTTTCATTTTGGAGACAGATGAACAAGACACACACACACACACACACACACACACACACACACACGTGCCACAGCGCCACCTTTTCAAGCAGCACCTTAAAGCTCTGCATGGCTGTTAAAGAGGCTAGAAACTAAAGTCATAAGAACAATCGCCTGGCTCGCCTTTAAGCAAAGGAGACTGCACTTGCGCGTGGAAGCACCAGTAATTGGGCTGTTAAGTCATATTACAAGTATATTTATAAGAAAGTACTGAAAATAGCAATTCTTTTTTAAAAAACAGTTGTGCAGACAAGCAGACTTGATGGCATCATTATCAAAATTTTAAAAATATAGGTAGATATCCCCCACCCCTGCCCGCATGTTCCAGCTTCTCCTTCCCCAATATGTGGTATATGTGACAGGCTGCACACATGCCCGGTGGCTGTTTTGTTCCTGTAGTTGCTGACATGCAGGGATCACACCACAGTGAGCAGGGCACCGCCTGAGGGCCGTGGCGGCCAGTTGGGCTCTGGCCTTGCTGTCTCTCACTGTGTGGCCATGGATCAGTTTCTTCCCCGTTCAGGGCCTCAGCTTTCTCACCTGTGACATAGGAGAGTAGAAACCTGGCAAGCCCCCCGCACCACAGCTCTGACTTCCAGGACTGGACATCTGTGCATGGCTGCCTGGGCTCGCTCAGCCCCTGGTTTTCCAGTAAGACGGTCGCCTGCAGAGAACGGCCCTCTGGCTCGGTTTCCAGATATCTGGAGAAAAGTGTGCTTTCTCTTCTTCCATGAAATCACATATTTCTCCAGATATTTCGAAACCAAGCCACAGGGTTGTAGGATCTACTTTTTGATCTTTTCATCCCCTGTAGTTGCCAATTCTGCATGTACTGGTCCTGTAGAAATAAATTAAACTGAAGCAACTTGAGGGAAGGAACTTGATGGAAGGATGGAGCGTCCACAGGGCTTGTTTTCCAGAGAAAAGTATTGTTTGGAGGAGCAGAATTGTAAGCCTACAGCTTATCATAAAGCTGTTCAAAAAAAAAAAAAAAAAAAAGGTCAGGCATGGTGGCTCATGCCTGTAATCCCAGTATTTTGGGAGGCTGAGGAGGGCGGATCACCTGAGGTCAGGAGTTCGAGACCAGCCTAGCCAACATGGTGAAAGCCCATCTCTACTAAAAATACAAAAATTAGCTGGGTGTGGTGGCAGATGCCTGTCATCCCAGCTATTTGGGAGGCTGAGGCAGGAGAATCACTTGAACCTGGGAGGCAGAGGTTGCAGTGAGTCGAGATCGCATCACTGCACTCCAGCCTGGGCAAAAGGAGCGAAACTCCATCTCGAAATAATAATAATAACAATAATAATAATAATAATAACTCAGAGCCAGGCTGTGAATGGAAATATACTGCCCAAGTCACATTCTGCTTAAAGCTGTAACAAATACAGCTGAGTTAAAAGAAAAACAAAAGGACGCTTTCTGAGTCAGGCCCGAGGGCTCTCCTTGGCAGAACGCGTTTCCTGCCCGTGAATATCCTGGTTGCCGAGGGCCGGGGCTCCCAAAGGCAGAGCTCACAGTGAAAGGCCAACGGTCAGTGTGTGTGAGACAGCAGTGGTGCTGGGCGTCAGGCCCTCTTAGGGCCTCAGTTTCCTCTCTACTTAAAGGGCCTTTCTGGGTCTATAATACTTTATGATTCCAAAGCCAGACAGAAGGTCCAAGGAAATCCCCTCTGAAGCTCCTACTTGTAGTTGAACAGACAAAATCCATTTGTAAAGAGTGGGCATTAAGTATTTTTTTTAAGGGGAAAATTTAGTGTTGATTTAGGACAAACATGATCCAGTTGCTAAGCACTTAGGAACCATTCCAGAGTTCCCTGGCAAGGAAGGGATGAGTTTCTGGCCTCGGGAACTGACATGGAGTCACCGCAGCCCCAGCTCAGGTGGTGCATGGAGCCCAGCTCGCCTACACCTGGCTGGAGAGGGCCTGGTTTTGGGTGGCCTGGGCCCTAGTCCCATATGAGAATGCACATGAGACCTCCTTGGCCCCGTGGATCCGCTGTCTCCAGAGTCCTTTCTGGGAAGGGGAAGGAGAGCCCTTGAGACAGGCCGAACTCCAAAGCAGATTCTCTCACCTCTGTCCTAGACCCTCGATCCCTGGCCCCTGGCATGGCAGACGCTTCCCTTCTGTCCTGCAGCTTGAGCTCTCGATGATGAAAACTCAGTCCAAGAGCGACAGAGGAAATGCGTCTTTCCTGGGCACTGCTAGTGGGTGCTGCTCACGGAGTGTGCCTCACCATTCTGCATGGAAATCTTAAAAATAAAGCCTGTCTTCTTCCCTTTCCCCCTGAATGAAACACACAGCACAGGATCTCACCGTTTCACGGGGGCTCGGTGTCATCACCAGGGACAGTCCTCATAGGTCTGTGTGATCAGAATTTGCTGAGAGCTGGGGTCAGGGCTCCCGCACGCGATGCCTCCACGCGGCTGTACTTTCATAGTTCGGGGATCTGCTCTCTGCAGCTCTTCTTTTTCTCCCTTGATATCGCTCTGTCAGTTGTCACTGCTATCACTGTACCTGCCTCTGGTCATTGCCATTTCTAGTTCTCGTACGTGGCAGCTACTCTCTGTGGCTGTTAAAACTAGACAAGCATACTTGTTCTCATTATGCATACAGCCAGTCGCTGGGCGCCGAGTGAGGGTCTGTGCCGCTCTTCCACGTTGCAGCTCAGAGGCCTTTCATTACATCTGAGTTCTGGGATTGGCTTTGGAGAAGAGGTTGCCATGAAAGTGACAGGTTATTGTTCTTGCTTTCTAGAGTTGACTGCAGACCAAGTCAACAATACCACAAAATCCCATTGGAGGGAGACACTGCTAGGAATTTTCCCAACTCCAGATAGACCTCATATATGAAACAATACATACTGAGCATTTACATACAGATCATATAAAAATTCTAGACATTGTTCCCTAGTCACATGTAGTACACATTTGGTATAAATAGACTAAGACAACACTGTATAAAAAGTAAGTCTGTTCTGGGAATGCTGACACAGCACTGATATGGATGCAGCTCTGCAGTCTTTGGCCTGCCCCTGTTTCCAGTTTCCCTGGCGGGCATCCTCAGGAGGGGCCCTGGGACTGCTGGAGGTTGGAGAACAAAGTCACCTGTGTGCCCCAGCGGATTAGGTGGGTGGCGGGCCATTGTAGCGCAGCATGAGCGTGAAGGAGCGGGCGAAGTTGTTGGCCAGGGTGCAGCTGCGGTCCTCTTCCCTGATGGGGAGCAGGAACAGCAGGAGGAGGAACAGCAGCAGAAGCAGCTGCAGTGGGAGCGCCACACAGCACACCCTCCGGAAGAGGGAGCCCAGTCCTCGCCACCGCCGAGTCTGTGGAACCAACACAGCACAGGTGAGTGGGCTGGGGGACTCTGGGGGTGGGGGGCAGGTTCAGGGGGCGAGGAGGATGCCAGGAGCGGCGATGGCACTGAACTGACTGTATGACAGTACATGTCTCCGTGTTCTCGTCGGTGAAATGGGGCTAATGTAAGTTTTGCCAGAAACAAAGGTTTCTGCAGTTTTCCCAAAGCATTCAAGGCGTGAAAGGAAGAACAGAAAATACAGTTGCAGGCTCTGCCATTGTGACATATATCTTTGCTTGCCTGGTGTAGCAGAGGGCTGGCTATGAATCCTAAGGTCACCTGACTTCTCTGAACCTCAAGTTTCTCATCTACAGATAGAGGCAATAATGGTACCTACACGACAGAGTTGTCATGAGGATCCAATGAGGCAGAGCCTGGCACATAGTAGGTATGTACCAGCTGCTGTCATTATTAGTACACATCCTTAATATTGTCACCATCTAAATCATCGTCGTCACCATCATCACCACCATCAAGTTCACCATCATCACTTTCTTCCTCCTGTCTTCCTTCCCTGTTTCCTCTTTCTCCTCCCCTTCTTCCTTTTCTTTTCTTTTTCTTTTTTTCTTTTTTTGAGGTGAAGTCTCACTCTGTCACCCAGGCTGGAGTTCAGTGGCATGATCTCAGCTCACTGCAACCTCCACCTCCCAGGTTCAAGCAGTTCTCTCCCTCAGCCTCCCAGGTAGCTGGGATTACAGGCGCCTGCCACTACACCCAACTATTTTTTTTTTTTTTTGTATTTTTAGTAGAGATGGGGTTTCACAATGTTGGCCATGCTGGTCTTGAATGCTGACCTCATGATCCACCCTCCTCAGCCTCCCAAAGTGCTGGGATTATAGGTGTGAGCCACCGTGCCCAGCCCCTCTCTTCCCTTTCCTCCCTCTCCCCTTCCCTCTTCTCCCCTTCTTCCTCCTCCTTTTATTTCATCATCAGTTTCATCACCATCACCATCGCCATCAGTATCACATAAAGGTCAGTCTCACAAGTCCAAATGCCTAATGGACTTCTCTGCTACAATATCCCTGAAAGTGGTCAAGAAAATATTTTCTAAATTCTGGAGGGACTGGCGGGGTTTTGGCTTCATGGATGTCTGACTGCCAAGGAGTGCAGGGAAAGAGCTGGTCACTCAGAAAAGTGAGGCCCTCATGGTCAAGATGCTGCAGAGTGCAGGATGAGCCCAGCTTTTAGGATCCTAGCAGACCAGGTCCCCACCCAGACTCTGTTACTCAACAGCTATGTGTCCTTGGGCAAATCAATATTGGATCTTCTGTTTCCTGCTCTGCAAAATGGGGATCAAATACCTACCCCTATTTGCTGGGCTGTGGTGAGGGCTCAAAGCAAAAGTATATTTATGCCTCGATTGATAAATGTACCAGTTCTTACTATTAGTACTATTAGTAATTATTTATAATAATCGTGCTAGCAATTAGTAACTGTTAGTAACATTCATTACTATTAATATTAGTAATCATAGCACTAGTACTATTATCATAGAATATATGTGCTGGCTCCCTGAAGAACCGAGGTTCACCCTCCAGGACACCAAAAGCCACAGTCCCGTGATGATGATAGTGATCGTGACCATGGTGATAGAGGTGAGGGCAATGATGACAGTGATGCTTGATGATGGTGGTGATGGTGATAATGATCATGATGTTAATGGTGGTAGGGGTGAGGGTGGGGTGGTGACAGTAAGGTGGTGACGATGGTGATAATGACCATGGTAATGGTGAAAATGGTGATGATCATGGTGATGGTGATGGGGATGGTGGTGACTGTGATGGTGATTGTAAGTGTGAGTGATAGTGATGATAGTGATGGTGATGATGGTGATGGTAATGATGACAGTGATAGTGGCGGTGGTCATGATGGTGAGGGTGACGGTGGTAAGGATGATGGTGATGGTGATGGTGGTGATGATGGTGATAGTGATGATGATGGAGGTAGAGATGTGGTGGTGGCGATGGTGAGGATAATGGTGGTAAGGATGATGGTGATGGTGATAGTGATGATGATGGAGGTAGAGATGGTGGTGGTGGTGATGGCGAGGGTAATGGTGGTAAGGATGATGGTGATGGTGGTGGTGATGATGATGGAGGTAGAGATGGTGGTGGTGGTGATGGTGAGGGTAATGGTGGTGAGAATGATGGTGTTGGTGATGGTGGTGGTGATGGTGATAGTGATGATGATGGAGATACAGATGGTGGTGGTGGTGACAGTGATGATGATGAAGATACAGATGGTGGTGGTGATAATGGTGAGGGTAATGGTGGTAAGATTGATGGTGTTGGTGATGGTGATGGTGATAGTAATGATGATGATGGAGGTAGAGATGGTGGTGGTGGTGATGGTGACGGTAATGGTGGTAAGGATGATGGCGATGGTGATGGTGGTGGTGATGGTGATAGTTGTGATGGTGATAGAGGTGAAGACGGTGGTGGTGGTAAAGGTGAGGGCAATGGTGTTAAGGATGATGGCAATGGTGGTGGTGATGGCGGTAGTGGTGGTAGTGACGGTGAGGGTGACGATGGTGATGAAGAAGCACTGTTAAATGCAAATGTTCCTGGGACGTTCTAACCTGGGCAGTTCTGTCTCTCTACCTCTCCTCTCTGAGTCAACTCATGTATTCCCCTGCTCCAAGTATCTCCTCCAGATGATAACACTTAACCCTGTGCCTGCAGCCTCAAATGTGTTCACTCACCAAAGTCCTTAAACACTGATTTTATAAAACAGGCTGCTTATAACAATGAATAAGTACTCTTGGCTGCATGTATTTCAGCAGTGACTTTGGGAGCGGAGGGTAGGGGGTGACACATTGTTTAAGCAGCTGAATGAGTGTGAGTTCACAGAGAAAGTGGCTCTTCCCACAACTGCTGGGCTGGGTGGAGCCAAATCTCTGACACATGTGACCCATCCAGGGAGAGGGAAAAGAGGTAAGACAATGAGCTGCAGGGCCACCCAGTCTGGGTTTTCACTGCAACTAACAGCCTGTAATTAAGGATTTCCTAAATGGAGGGTCTGCTTACAAGTGTCCTTTTTTATTTGCCCCTCCATTCTCAGAGCTAACACTTTGCTTATTCAAGAGAGGGGTCGTGCCTTGGCCATGATCCTCTGGGAAAAACGTCTTTGAAGGTCCAAAAAGTGTTTACACATACAAGTGTTGACAAGGGGTGGTCTTCTCAAAGGATTCCTGCAGCCTGCCCAGTGCCTGTTTACTTAGAGCTCACATCCTCACTTAAAGGTCCCTGGATTTCAAAATGCTCTTTAAAAAAGACACCTTTCAATATGTTTCTAACTGCTTAGAAACACACACACACATACGTCCATACAAACACAGACACACACACATATACAACCCTCTAAGAAGCCAACAAGAAAAATGACAATCTTGGCTTTTCCAAAGAGAGAAAGGGCTTCCTCAGGAAGTTATAAAAGCTCCCCATTGGATATGGTTTGGCTGTGTCCCCACCCAAATCTCATCTTCAATTATAGTTCCCATAATTCCCATGTGTTGTGGGAAGGACCCAGTAGGAGATAATTGAATCACGGGGGCGGTTTCCCCCATACTGTTCTTGTGGTAGTGAATAAGTCTCACAAGATCTGACGGTTTTATAAGGGATTTCCCCTTTCACTTGGCTCCCATTCTCTCTTGTCTGCTGCCATGTAAGACATGCCTTTCTTCTGCCATAATTGTGAGGCCTCCCCAGCCATGTGGAACTGTGAGTTCATTAAACCTCCTTTTCTTTATGAATTACCCAGTCTCGGGTATGTCTTTATCAACAGCATGAAAACGGACTAATACACCATCCCTGAGGGTAGGGAAGCAGGGGTCGATGAGCCCATGGGGGTGGGGAGGGAGTAGAGGAGTTAACACACTCATCAGAGGCTCTGACCAAGAGTCCTCCAAGGTGTTACATGATGATCCTGAGACTCCAGATTTCTGAGGATCGCAGGCTAGAGTTCATCACAGTCCATGAGACCTAATCTTCTACCACTGGTGAAATGGGATGTGGGGAAAATAAAAGGTTTGGAGTCTTGGGTTCTAACCCTGACTCTACCACTTTCTAGCTGTGTGATCCAGGGCATGTTGCTTAGCCTCTCAGAGCCTCAGTTTCTTCCCTGTTGGGAGACAGTGACACTTGCCTACCAATGTAGGAAGGATAAATGAAGCGATGCATGCTATGCATAAAAGGCACAGTAGGCACCCAACAAAGGCTTACTTCCTTTCTCCTCTGGCTGATGGGTGTGGGGCAGAGAGGCAGCTCCTGCAAGTCCCACAAGCTTCCCCTCCACCAGGGATGCAGGGATTAGGCGCCATCATCACCTTCGGTCCCATCAGGGAAGAAAGCACTGCCCTCCTTAAATGCCATCTCTCAGCTCCTTAAAGACCCTCATGCCTTATTGCCGCAGGGCCTTTGCACGGGCTGTCCCTTGTGTCAGGAATGCTCATTGCCCTTCTTTCTCCACTCCACCTGGTTAGTGCTGACTGACCATTGTAATCTCACCCTGAGTCACTTCCTCCAGGAGACCTTCCCTGGCCTTACACATCCTCAGGGCACCCTTTCCTCTGGATCACTGATTAAGATCTGTGCTGCCCTTAACTCCTCGGAGGCGGGGTCCACATTAGTCTTGTACTTTACTGTCTCCTTAGCAGTGCTCAGTAAATATTTGCTGAATGAATGAAACCATGAATATAAGGCTCCTTCCCTCCCTGCACCTCTGGCCATTCGCTTCTCCCTCAATACATCAGAGGCCACCCCAGAGACACGGGCACCTGCTATCTGCGAGCTGTTCTCACTGTGCCTATGGGTCACCAGGACGTCTGGGCTCCACTTGTTAGTGAACTCACTAAACACACCCCCAAAGGTCCTGAGCTCTGCTCTTCACCTCACTCAGCGGCCTCCTGGGCACCTTGAGCATCTCTGTGAGGCCGACTTTCCTATGCCCATTTTACAGAGGAAGAAACTG